CAAACATGATTTTAATCTCTACTGTTACTATTCATGCAAAGTCGATGCAAACGGTATGTCTGGATGTTTGGTTGAAAAGAAAGGGAAAAAGTTGACAAATTATAGCTAAAATTAGGCAGGCCCAACTAATAATGTTGTATGCTAGTAGGGTTTGTGGGGTGACTGATGAACGGTTTGCTTAAATTGGCCTAATACAATGGATGTTTAGAGAGTGGAAATTCAAATTATGTGGTGGTTTTATTTGCATCTAAAAAAATTTAGTATATTTAATTAAAATTTTGGAATTTTTGTTCCTATTATACCATAATATAAATTTACTAATAAGAATAATATACATTAAGTCCTAAAATATTTTTTTTTTTTCCTCATAGTACACTCAAACCCACTTACTTACACCGAACCATAATATCACCTCCCTTCTCTTCCTTTTCTTTCCCAAGTTTTCATTATTTTTTCTTCATCTTTTTTCTAACTCCAAAATTCTAATCCACCCCACCAAAAATTACCATCATCATCAACATCATTGTTTGTTCACAATCTATGACGAATTAATTAAGAAAAATATCATAAAACTGAAATCTATACAGTATTCATAGGATCATTTTTTTTTAATTTTAAGACAGGAAAAGAAAAGACTCAAGCAGCTTCAAAAGAATAAAATCTCCCCAAATTATCTAAAAGGAGAAAAGAAAGATCCAAAACATTAGCCTAAGTTGCAACCCAAATAAAAATAAATGACCCAAAAAATTTGGCCCCAAAGGGAAAGCAAATGAATGTAGAAAGCGTAGAAAGCATAACAAGCCCATCAGGTTGTGTTGGTATTGGTGGTGTGTGGGCTTGGGGAATTCTATTTAAACCCAAAACATATATTAGTATGCTTTGCTTAAATTTTTAAATTTTAATTCTTATTATATCTTAATATAAATTTACTAATAATGATACACATCTTAAACCCTAAAGAAATTATTTTTTTCTCATGATACACCTTAATTAGTTATTCTTATTCAAATATCTGTATCTGCTTTTCGAAGAGATTAAAGTTATTTCTTCTTCTTCTTCTTCTTCTTCTTCTTCTTCTTCTTCTTCTTCTTCTTCCTCCTTCCAAAACTCCAATCCATCCTACCAAAACTCACCATCATCATCAATATCATTCAGAATGTTTGTTTCCAATTTTTAGAATTCACTTTTCAAAAAAATTTACTTTATTGTTTTCTGTATTTTTTTGTTTTTACTAAATTTTTTTAATATTTTAAGCAATTTTTTTAATTTTTAGACACACCTAACATAAATATATTTAAAAAGTATAATTTTTGTGAAAAAAATATTTTAAAAATTCACTAAATACCAAAAATACAAAAGAATTGAAAATTCAGTATATTTTTCATATTTTTATGTATTTATTATTTTTTAAAATATTTTTTCACAAATATTTTAGTTTTTAGATACATCTGAGTAAGGTGCATCTAAAAAAGTAAAGAAAAATGTTTAAAATTAAAAAAATATTCACTAAAAACAAAAATAAAAGACTCAATATTCAAAAAATTGAATTCAGAAAACTGAAACCAAACACACTAATTGTTTTTTATCATTTTGAACCCTAAATTCTAGAAGAGAGTTTGAACAAAATCAAATAATGGATGAGAGTAATAATCAAAATAACTTTTTGAAGTTACCCATCAAAAATGAGGTAAGTATTCATATAAAGAGGTTTCACAGTTTTTGTAAAGCACCATCAATTATTTTTTTATATCATTTTTTTGACAAAAATTAAAAGATCTAATAATTAGATTAATAATAGGGAAATTTAGCTATAAACCCCTTTTACCTTCCTTTCATTGTTAAAAGGACTAAGAAAAAAATTATACTTTCTAAGCCCCCTCATAATTATAAAGTCTTGCATAAAGGACAAAATTTATTATTTAAATATTTTATAGGACTATTATACCCTCAACTTCTGCATATATAATCAGCTTCGTTATCAACTGTATCATAATCACCATAGTTGCATCTTTCAAGCTTCAGCAGAAGGTCGTCGACAAGCCGCCGCCATAGTCGCGTCTTCCAAGCATCAGCAGAAGGTCCTCTCTTCATCTTCATAATCAGCAACGATATAGCTTTGAGTATGTTGAAATTGAATGAGGATGTTGTTGGAGATTCGAAAGCCAGGGTTTCGGAGCAGATGGAGATTTGGAGTGCGGTGGAGATGGCTCAATTGGAAACGGAGAAGAAACATGATGAGGTTGTTGATGAGATGCTGGCGATGTTGAATGCGAAGGCTGAAGCTTCGAGAATGAAAGAAGTTGAATAGGAGGTTGGGAAGGATGTGGATGAGGAACAGTAGAATATATGTATATATATATATATATATATTTGTGTGTATGAGTGTTGTTGAACACATGTATTCTTTTTCATTGAGATGTGTGATTGTTGATCGAGTTTTAGAAATTTTTCGTTTCAATTAGATATGTGGATTTGTTGATTAATTTGTTTTGTTTTTGTTTGTTTGTTTTTTTTTTTGAAGTTTTTTTTTCTCAATTAGATATGTTGATTTGTTGATTAATTTGTTTTGTTTTTGTTTGTTTGTTTGTTTTTGATTTATTTTTGTTGTTTTTTATCTAATTTCTTTTGATAGAATCAGAGTAAAATTTTACTATGGTTCAATTGCTCTGTTTTTTTCATTTGACAGAACCAGAGTAAAATTTTACTTTTATACAGAGTAAAATTTTACTTTTGTGTAGAGTCTAACATTTTACTCATTTTTCAGAGTAAAATTTTACTTTTATACAAAGTAAAATTTTACTTTTAGTTTCAGAGTGTAACATTTTACTCTTATTCAGAGTAAAATTTTACTTTTATACAGAATAAAATTTTACTTTCATACAGAGTAAAATTTTACTTTTAGTTTTAGAATGTAAAATTTTACTTTTATACAGAGTAAAATTTTACTTTCATACAGAGTAAAATTTTACTCTGAAATATAGAGTGAAGATGGCTTAATAGGAGAGTTGATAGATATGAGGGTAATATAGTAAAAGAAACAAGTTTTAAAATATTAGGGGGTTTTGAAAGTACTTATATAATTCTTGTCCTTTTGAAAGATAAATTAGATGGTGAGGGGACTATCACCAAATTCCCCATAATAATAACATATTAAAAATTAAAAATACTTAATAATTTTTTTGAATGTAAATAAAATCCCATCATGAATTTTGAAGAAGAGGCTTTGAATGTTTTTGGGTTGGTCACAAGTTTTGGGAGCATGAATTTATGACCATGGCTCCTTTTTGAGTAAATTACAATTATCATATATTACACATTAAAATTTATGATTTTTTAACATTCATCACTTGCTGGATGAGTATTCAAATAAAAAATTGATGGTAATTTAAATGGAATAATCAAATTAAAATTAGCTAAAATTTATAGCTAATATTATTCAAGTTAAATAATAGAGACCAAAATAAAATTTGAGTCAAATTCTAATGGTAAAAGATATAATTTATCCAAAAAGGAGCCATCATAATAAATTCATGCTCCCAAAACCTGTGACAACACATGAAATATTCAAGCCTCTTCTTCAAAATTTATGGTGCAAAAAGGTTAGTCATAGCTATATTTTAAGGTTAGTTTGAATATTCACTGGTTTTTATAAGCTAAGCTTAATTAACTTTGATTTTTATACAATTGTATATAGTGTATGTGAGCTTATCAAAAATTAACTTACATGATAAGTTCATTTTAAATGAAATTTTAATGAATCAAACATTAGTTAAACTCAAATAATTTAATTTGCTATACTAATCTAAGATGGTCATTTCAACCCTCAAGCATTATGCCACAACAACTTTAACCTGCAAAAAACACACCACCATTTTGCCTTTTGTAAGTTGGCTCCAAGAAAAAGTCTGGCAACAAATGGGGTTCCTATGTCTCACTCACAGCCCCAACATCCTGTCAAGATGGGAAATCCATGGACCCAAGTCCTCCCTTTATCATTAAAAGTCCTTCAGCAAAAAGGACTTGGTTGACTTTCCCAACCACAGTTAGGTGGGACCTAGGCCTAGAGGTTCAATAGACTTAACCCTTCTTATTTTTATCGAAAGTAAGACAACGTAATTTAAGTAGATGTTCATAGAGTTCATCTAAATCATATTATAAATCAATTCATCTTCTAACTAATTCAATTGGTTAATCCAGTGATCAATTTTTAAAATATGGTGGGAGTAAGAAATTCAAGAGAACCAATCCCCTCCTCTTTCTCACACATGCAACATGCTCTACAGGAAACTCATAATTTAACAATCCAAAATGAACTAAAATCCATTGTCTAAAAATGAAAATAAAAAACAATTTGGCTAAATATTTGTAGAGATATAAATCGATTTACAGGTCAACTGATTCAACCGTCTAATCGAGTCCAATTTTTAAAATATTACCTATCACGGTTTGGTGGAAACCACCGGTTTAGAATAACCAACTCCTCCTCCTCCTCATGGATACAACATGCTATAAGCAATGTCATAATTTGACAGTTCAAGTGCCAAAATCCTTTGTCCACAACAGGAAAAAAAGACAAACACAATACAAGTAGATATGTTCATTCAGAACACCCAAACCATACTTTTATGCCAACAATTTGTGTGGCTGGATAGACAAAAATACAATGAAGGTAGAACAAAAATACAGGTATGATTTCATCATCTATCACTATCTTCTTCATTAAACAATCAAGCTAGACAAAAATATTGATGGCTACTTGTCACATGCATGTCCTTCTGTAGATCAGGCCCTTTCCATGTGCAGCCTCTAACACCAACATAGAAATTATCTTCATTATGCATCTAATTTCCAAAAAAATTCATTTACATTATATTTCAAAACATTGCTATGAGTGAAGTTCAGATCCACCGACGAAGAGAGAACATATTCATGGCAGAATGCAAAAAAATGAGCAGTCAAGACCCAATCCCAAAGCATTCGAGTAATCAACAGTATGGTGATACTGATAAAACATAGTATATCATTATCAAAAACCCTTGTACCAATAGACGATTTTATTGGGATCTACATTAATGGTCACAGGCTAAAACATATATAGGTGTTCTGAACTCTCTTGCAAAGAAAAAGTAACATATTTGAGACTTATGAACAAGTTTTAAGAACATAGAAAACACTTTTGTAGATATACAAGAACCAAAAAAAAAATAGAATTGCATTCAAGAATGCCAGAGTCCTCTCAACATATTGCTGAGTCTATTAGATGACAACTTCCTGACAATCTTTTTGGCATCAGGGACCTCAGCCTCTGCAAGTTTTTCTATGTTCTTCAAATACCCAGAATGTACAATTTTTTTTCTTGCACTGTTGCTACTTGAAAGTGACATTAATATAGATAACAATACCTTTCTTGTACTTGAATTTCCCTCTTCTGGATCAAGCAATTGCATAAGTGAACTGACATTTTGATCATTCTGCACAAAGCGTTTTCGATTTCTGGAGACTAAAACCATGCTAGAGAGTGCCTCAGCAGCCATTTCGCGAATTTCAAATGATTTTGCGCTGAGCAATTTAACAAGTTCTGGCATGAACCCAGAATCACCCATTGCTTTCTTGGCCACCTGTGACATCCCAGATAACATAGAAACCGCCTTCAACGCCAATTCTTGAATCGAAACCTCACCATTGCGAAGAAAATAGAGTATATGATCCATAAAACCAAAATTCATCAAAATATTCACAGTACTCATTGATGAGAAACACAAATTCACAATTGCCCTTAAGGCCATCTCTCGAGCTTTCGATGAAAAAGATGATTTGGGATCCAAAACACGAACGAGCACGCGAATCCCACCTTCTCTAACAATTATTTGCCTGATTGTTTCATCCCCAAAAGCCATCGTTTGAAGAAATTCAATAGAATTTATCTGTGAAACTTCATCTTTAGACCTCAAAAGCTTAATAAAAGCTGAAATCGCCCCTTCTTCAACCATGAATCTCTTGATTTCTTGAACCCCAACAAGATTTTTCAAAACCCCACAAGCCAAACCAACCAATTCACCACCACAATCACCATTAGTACATATCTTCAACAGAGCAGTGACTCCACCATGAGCTGATACAGACCAAGCATTGTCCGAATTCTTGGTTAATTTCATCAAACACCTTGCAGACCTTTGTTTACCCATTTCACTTCCACTCTCCAAAACTCTAATCAACGGCGCGAGAGCACCGGCACTGACTAAAAGACTCTTACATGAATCAAACCCAGCAATCAGTGACACCGCCTTGGCAGCCTCTTCTTGAAGCTCAGTTTCTTGAGAATCAAGAAAGTTCACCAAGAACCCAAAAAAACTTCCAGTCTCAACAGCAACCTTTATATACTTGTCATCCTCATGAATGACTTCATTGAAGGCAATCAAAGCTTGTTTCTTCAATTCTCTGCCACCGATCTTTAGCCTCGACAACAAGTCATTCAGATAGAATTTCATGTCTTCACGAGAAGCTCCGACGCTCGGCCTCGAAACAACAATGGCATAGCTGTCTCTGATCAATCCGGAAGTGTAGATTTCTGAGAGATTCTTGATATGGGTATCGAATTTCGCACAGATTATATCCAAATCGCTTTGCATTAAGAGCTTCCCACTGTAGGAAATCTCGACGCATCGCTTTGCAAGGTCAGAGCACTCGTTGATTGTGTCTAGTATCGCCGGAACTTTGCCGGAGAGGGATGGGTTTTCGCCGGAATCGCAGTTTCCGACGGCGGTGAGGCAGGAGAGGAGGTCTTCAAGCTTGTTGCGAATCGATTGCCATTTCACTGCAAAGACTTTAATTGAGTGAGAGAGAGAGATTAGAGAGGTTACGAGTTCTATGGCTCGCTGGAGATTGGGTTCTCCGGCGGATGACTCCGGCCGGTTCTTGTCTTTTTGCTTTGATTGTTTGTTGATTTTCTCTCGACCCATCTTGGTTTTTTCAAAGATTTGGAAAGAAAATCATTTTCCGATGATGTGGGTCAGATTTTCCGGTGAGGTGGGTCAGATTTTCGGGCGAGTGGTCGTCGGAGCTTTGAAGAACAAGGAGAGAGTCAAAAGTCCGATGAGCTTATCTTGAAGAAGGGCAAAGGCTGTATTGATATGTAACTGAATTGGGTTTGAGTGGAATTGACGAAAATAGTCTTTTTGGAGGTTTTGTGAATCTGATGGTTTTGTTTTATTACTTAAAGAGAGCGTGGGGGTATTTTGGTCATTATGAAGTAGAATGGTGCCTTCAATAAATGGGCAGTTGGAAAATATTAATAGAAGGGAAGATAATAGGGATGTTTAAAAATGGGAAGTTGAAAAATTGCTTTGAAGTGTGACAAAGGAAGGTGGGAGAGGTTTTGCTATTTTGGTCCAGCGAATTGACTCTGTTGTTTTATGGGGGGAGCATGTAGTCATTTTATAGGGTGGGATGGTAAATAATAAATAAATAATTTAGAATAGAAAAAAATATGAAAAATTCTAGATGTATTATTAAATATTTTACATAATATTTACATGAGTGTATACACCGTAAGTATTGAGTATAATATTTTGTAATTTTTTTAAAATCTCTAATATTGTTCACAAAAATTAATTTAATTGGGTTTAGTTTGTTTTATATGAAAATTGATCATCATTAATTATTGAAAAATATTATTCTTACTTAATTTTTTATAATGTAGTAATATCATTTTGATAAATAATTTCATTTTAAAATGACAAGTTTTAAAGTAATTATATTATTTGTATATAAATTTTATATACTACTATGTTAGTTATTTCATAATTTCATTTCATGTATATTATTTGTAGAAGCTCTCTCTCTCTCTCTATATATATATATATATAGTACATTAGAAGGGGTGGGTAAGAAATCCATAATCTCTTGAGTTACATGAGTTCTTTATGGGTTGATTGGGTTCGGTTTAATAGTAAATTTAGAACTAATTCAATTATCATTGGTTTAAGATTTTTGGATCTAGAATCAATCCAATTATCTAGTAGAACTAATCCAACTCAAGCCAATGTAAATCAGATTAGTTTTGATTGGAACCACAGTTATATTATATTAAAAATAAATAAATCAGTCAATAATAAATAATTAAAATAAACAAGTTTTTAATATTTAGACATTACAAAAACAAATAGCAAAATATTTAACACAAGCAAATACAAATTAAATCTAACTCAAACTTAAATAAAAATATAAATCAAGGGTAAATTACCAATAGATCTTAATAGTTGAACTTAATTCTCATCAAATCCTATTGAAAATAAATCCTAACAAAATCGTTGCTAAAAATAATTTTTTGTAACGATTTTTTTATATGTCGCTAAAAATTGACAATTAATAATTTTTTTGTCACAATTTTTATAAATTATCTCTAACATTTTTCTGTTATGAATTTTTCAAATTGTAATTGAAAGTTAAAACTTAGCCTCCGTTTGGGAAGTGGGTTGGCTTTTTAGATTTTTGGCTTTTTTGACTATTTTAGCCTGGGCTAAAAAGCTTGGTTTGGGAAGGGCTTTTTGGCTTTTTGGCTTTTTTGACTTTTTTTGTGAGAGAATAGTGTAATGATTATGGGTTGGATGTGATGTTTTGTTTTTTGTGGCTAAAATAGCCTATTTTGTCTTTTGTGACTAAAATAGCCAAAAAAACCCGGAAAAGCCCTTCCCAAACGGATAGTAACTTTTTTTTTGTAACGATTTTTTTAAACTGTTACTAAAATTTATAATTAATAACATTTTTTGTAATAAAATTATTAAACTGTCGCTGAAAATTAACAATTAGTGACGCTTTTTAATAGTGCTTAATGAAAAATACCATTAATTATCATAAGACTTGTTAGACAATAAGTCCATCTATTAGGATCTACACGTAAGTCTCCCTATAATCAATACAAATTAAATCTATTAATACATCTAATAAAAATTAAATCAACTATGAAATTTAGCTCTAGCTTCTAGTACTTCGTTCGTTTACCTAATAGTTCTTGCATATGAAAAATTATTAGGTGTAATCACGTCAATTATAATAGAGTAATAAGGTGAAGACACGTCAGTATAAATAAAATTTTAAAATATATATATATATATATATATAAATAGTTTCAGTTCAATTTAGACAAGGCGTAAACCAAGAACTAACTCAATTATATTAGTTTGATGATTTGAAAACCTAGAACCAAACCAATGTACTAAAAAATTGACCTAGCCCAACCCAAAGAGATCAATTTGATTCAATGTAATTTGAACACCCCTAAGTTCAACCACTAAATCTAAATAATTGTAGCAACTCTATTTTCTAAGAATGTGTTTGGTGTAACTATTTGTAAGTTGAAAGAACTTAATTTTTTAATACTATGTTTTTTCTTAATTTGTTTAAATTATTTTTATTTCATAAATTATAAATAGAAATTGCTCTAATCACATTGGTACGACTTCTAACTAAAATTTTTAAAATATTAACGATATTCTCTCTAAGCTGAGATCTATCTGATATCATATGTATCTCTTTTATTTTCTTGAAGTTTATTTGACCAGTACTAGGAATATCATTGGAGACACCTAAAAAGGTCACCAAAAGTCACTATTTTATTATTATTATTATTTTTTCGGTGCTAGGAAAGTTACATACAAAAACAAGTCTGTTCAAGGACACTACACTCGTAACATGTTAGCAAACAACAAACAGAATGTTCTCCATCTTTTCAGACTTTCTTTGTAAGAAGTTTTCAAAGTATATAAAAAAATGTGTGATATCAATTTTCTATAGGATGTTGATCATTTTGATTGTAGTCAAATTTGGTGTTATTCACTAGAGTCGAGCTTGTCCCTAAGTTCCAAAATTTCAAACTAGACATCTTTAGTTTGTAATGAACACTCTCAACTTCAATATTTTTTCTAAATTTAGGGTTCAGCTTCATGTCCACATGGTTACAAATCCAATATTAAATTTAAGTAAAATAATCTGACCCAATTTAATAACTAGACAAAATTTAGATTGTTAATTTATAAAAGAATGCTGAGATGGCCTAATCAAAGAGCTTGAACTATTTCCTCTTGTGCATACTCGGACCGGAGAAAGCCATTTTCTATTGCACTATTCTTGTTTGCAAGACTAATAAGAAAGATTACACTTGTGAAAGACAAAAAAAATTTGAATCAAGAAAAGATGGAGTACATTCTGTTTGGTACAATTTATTATAATTTAGAAGTTGATAATCTAAAAATAGAAATTAAAAGCATCTATCACCGAGTTTTCATAAATCAACTTTGTCAACTTAATTATATCTTCCTAATAAGTTATAATTGTACCAAACAGTCAATACAAACTTCCAGAATAAAAAGGTTATAAGCAATTCAAATAAGTTGCACTAAACAACCTCGATGTAATTTTTACTTATAGTTTATTAGATGAAATAACTTAAATAAATTGAAAAAAACTTGATTATCGAAAAGTTGAGAGAGAGCTGCTTTTCACTTTTTACTTTTTACAATAAGTTGCAGTAAATATACTCAACGTGTTTTCTGTAAACTATTATGTGATCTATTCTTCTATGTCGTTAGCTTCATTTAGGTGAAAAGGAAGAAAAGAAGAGCCAGCAATACCCTGTAGCATGGAAAATGACACTAGCAACCCCAACCCCCACCATGTGAACAGTGTTCCTTAAGCTGGGGGTCGCCTTCTGAATAGCAACTAGGAAGTTGGGATGAAACTTCATATAGTGAGAAAGGTGCATCTTTCCTAACCCTTTTTGTGGTGTTGATAGTGAGCTGAGCTAAACAAAACCCTAAAAGCTGCTTATGTCAAAACAATGCTAAAAGGTCATTGATCATCCATCAATATAAATCTTCGAGGACAAGCTTTGAGGAATTTATGATGGTTGTTTGTGGAAAAGTGAGAAGCATAGGCATCCAAAAAAAAAAAAAAATGAAAACCTCAAGAAGATGACAAATGGGACATCAAAACATAATGACCCATGATATGATTAGTGTCTAAACCAAATGTTATTCAAATTAACAAATTTTATACTTTTTTATTAATATGTAATGCAATAAAGAAAATTTAAGAATCTAAAACATGATGCATTTTAATAATATGATAAGTGTCACATCAATAAGTAAAAACAATTTATAAGATTTGTTAGTTTAATATAATATCAACCGGTGTCTAATATTGTACTAATACCATCTCATGACAAAAATATTCATTAGTTTATGTAATCTTACAAAAAAATGAGTGTGTTACTAAGCATTAAGGATGACATGGATTTAATTTTCTATTCGTAAAGTAAAATTTTGAATTTATTTTGAATAAAAGAAAAATATTATAAAAAAATTTAAAAAAAAAAAAAAAAACTTCTTTTAAGTATAATCTTTTTTGTTGTCTTTTTCTTTTGAGCTTTCCTTGCCAGCTTGCTGGTTGAGCAATTCATCACCAAAAAAAAAAGTTTGTTGCATCCAACAATGGTTCTTCATCCAATGGCATGATTGAATTAATTGGCACATGGCCATGGAATACTATTAGGGACCACATAAATACTGTGTAAGTACTTAAAAATTCATTATCATTCAAAAATTCATTATCATTTTTACTTTGGTGGGGTCTTAAGCTATAATTCATTCATTAGGAAGCAAATTGTTACCAAACATTAATGAAATTCCGTATCATTATTTGTCCATAATCCACCTACAAATCATATGATCATCGTGCAAATACGACTTCTGATCCACTTATTGTGTGATTTTCAAGAGTTTCAATCACTAATCATGTTTCATTAATACTGTATTTAGTTGGGACATTTGATGAGAGATTTTGAAAAGGAAATAAAAAAAGTAGATGAAATGTGAATAAAACGTACTTATATTTCATTTAGTTTCACACAATTTTTCCCTTTACTTTTCCAAATTCCTCTCCAAATCTCTCAATGCAGCGTAAAAGAAATTGAAAGAAAAAGAATAAATGAAAAGAAAAGAAGAAAAATGAGTAAGGATCGTGTGTAATTGTAAAAGAAATATTGTGTTTTCATAGTTACCTAAAAGAAGTATGGTGTGGTTTGTTTAATGGTTTTTGTGTTTGGTAGAAAGGTCATTGCATGAAGAAGAAGCAGCAACAAAGTCATTAAGTTGGACAACTTTGAGTGGTGAAGAAGTGAAATACTAAAATGAAAGCATAGGTACAATTAAAATACCTTAGCGTTGAAGAGAAAGGTATAGATGGCAATATTTCAAGTGCATTTACTCCAATGGAGCGCAATATGATCCAATAATGAGTTGGGGGAAATGACAAAAAAAATAAAATAAATAGAAATAGATGTAAGGAATTTTTCATAGGTGGATCTTCATAGATCAAATAATTAT